ATGGATTCAAACTGGAGCCCAGGGAGTTCCACCTCAACATGAGGAAGAACTTCTTTCCTGTGAGGGTGACAGAACCCTGGGACAGGCTGCCCAGAGAGGCTGTGGAGGCTCCTTCTCTGGAGACTATCCAGACCTGTCTGGATGCCTTTCTGAGTGACCTGCCCTGGTTTTGGTCCTGCTCTGGCAGGGCGGTTGGACTCAATGATCTTTGGAGGTCCCTTCCAACCCCTGACATTCTCTGATTCTGTGATAACCAGTGATACTGGGAAGGAGTTTTCAAGAAGCGTGTTGGGGAAAAACTTCAGGAAATACTGATTCATGCTCGTTCTGACAAGCTCCCTGGAGTTTCCTCTATTGTTTGTGAGCTACTGGTTTTCTCATTTCAGAGGATCCTCTAGAGCAGCTTTTGGGATGTTTTCACTCTCCTTAATCTGAAAGATCCCAATGCCTTAACTCTTAGTCTTGGGAGCAATGACTGATCTGGAGCAGTGCCTGCAACATCTATGGTTCTTCTAAGCTGGAGGGAACCTACAGGCATCTGCAACTGTGTCCTTCATACACTGCAGCTCAGCTCAAAGGTCTAGTAGAGAGAGTAAAACTAAAGCAGCTCCTTGCTTCTCTGATGCTACCTGCACACCTCGTGCAGAGAAGCTCTTCCTTCACAGCTGAAGGGAGGCACTTGTAGCCCTCCATTTTCTTGTCTGCTCTTTTTGGCCACCTTGGCAGCCCTGTGCTGCTTTTCCAGGGCAAGTTCCTTTCTTCTGCCACCTGGCCAGCAATTTAGGTAGCTCTGTCATGGGAAGAAGTACTTGGATTACATGAGGTCTCAGAAGAAGTACCATGGAGGGATAAATTCTGGTTTCAACTCCTGGAATCCATCAAAAAGAATGTAATGGGAGTGAGGTTTTACATACATGGGGATACAAAATGTCCTGTCTGGAAGGTGAGTGCAAGTGTTGGTGTCATAGAATCACAGACTGGTTTGGGTTGGAAGGGACCTTATGATCACCTAGTTCCAACCTGCCCTTCAACACTTCCAGGGATGGAGCAGCCACAGCTTCTCTGGGCAACCTCTCACCACCCTCACAGAGAAGAATTTCTTCCTAAAATCTCACCTCAATCTCCCTTTGTCCAGTTTAAAACCATTAAACCCTTGTCCCATCTCTACACACCCTGGTGAAAAGTCCCTCCCCAGCTTTCCTAGAGGCCCTTCAGGCACTGGAAGGTGCTCTAAGGTCTCACTGGAGCCTTCTCCTTCTCCAGGTTGATCACCCCAACTCCCTCAGCCTGTCCTCACAGGAGAGCTGCTCCAGTCTTGCAGTGTTCACTGCCCAACCTGCCAGAGCACAGGGCACATGATACGTGTGCTCTTGCCTCCCTTCAGGCACCAGAAAAGAGGGCCAGATCCACACACAAACACGATTTAAAACAAGCACTTAACATTGGGAATTTGAAGGGTAAAAAAAGAGTCTGATGCTGTGACCAGGCTCTGTAAGAGCTTGCTCAGGATGGGTGGCGTTTTCAGGCAGCAGGGCACTGGAGGGGCAGGGCTGGTGGACTCAGGATCCATGGGAATCTCTGACAGAACCAAGAAAAGTGGTGAAGGCTCTGGCATCACCCTCATAGGCACTGGAGGAGGGATTGGGAATGTCCACTTCCAGGCTTCTCTGTGGTGGGAGTGAGGCAGCCCCTGTTGGACTGGGAGTCCTGCCCCACGTCCAGCTGTGGGCTGGAACAGGATGAAAAGCATGGTCGGCAGGAGCTCACAGATGCCACCTCCTGCTCTGCCTGCCAGAACAAAACAGAAGCTGGGCATAAAAATCAGGCAGGCAGATAAAAACGAAGGTGTATGTTTAATTTAAGGGTTGTGATGCTCACTTAGTACACACGCAGGATGTGAAATTTGCTTTGTCCTTAATGCAGTCACTGCCCGTGCTCATGGCAAAGCGCTCAGCTGTGGCTAAACAAAAGGGGTGTTATTGGCAGCTCCCACAGCTACAAGCAAATTAAACAAATGTGTTTTTTGAGCAAATTGCAAAGCAGACTTTGCCTGAGGCTAAGCCACCAACCAAACTGCCTTTGAAACAGTGAAGACAGCAAGCACTGTGCAAAAGATGTTTGTGTTCGAGCTCGGGCAGGTTGGGAAATGGCAAGTCCGACCAGCACGGAGTGTGATGCAATTAGATCTTCCCTACAGCAGTGAGCTGAGATAACTGCTTGTTAGCTCAGCAGGGCAAGGTCACGCACACGTTGCCTAGAGTCCAGCTTCCATTGCTTTCTTCCCCAAAGGGTGGAGCTGCAGTGCAAAAGCCTGCCTGGGAATCTCATTTTTCTCAGCAGGGCTGCAGTTTGTAACTGTAACTTGGCATTTCGGCCAGAACCAGTGAGGATCTAATTTAACAAGAGGGAGATTTGGCTATTCTGGGTTTTATTTACAAGGGTATCACCAGCAGAAATAAAGAAGTCACCATCCTGCTCTGCTTGGCGCTTGTCAGACCACACCTGGAGCATTGTCTTCAGTTCTGGTCCCTGCTCTACAAAAAGGATGGGACAGGCTGGAGAGGGACCAGAGAAAGGCCTCAAGGATGATCAGAGGGCTGGAGGACCTGCCATGTGAGGAGAGGCTGAGAAAACTGGGTTTGTTCAGCCTGGAGAAGAGAAGGCTTCAGGGAGACCTTATTAGCATGTTCCAGTACTCAAAGGGTGGCTGCCAAGAAGCTGGAGACTCCCTGTTTACAAGGAGTCCCATGGAAAAGACAAGGGGTCATGGGCACAAGTTGCTCCTGGGGACATTCCAGTTGGATACAAGAGGTAGATTTTTCCCCATGAGGACAGTCAGACATTGGCATAGTCTCCCAAGGGAAGTGGTGGATTCCCCTTCATTGGACAGTTTCAAGTCTCAGCCTGACAGGGTGCTGGGCCACCTCATAGAAACCATGGTAGTACCTAGGGAGGTGGGACCAGGTGATCCTTGTGGTCCCTTCCAACCTGGCATTCCATGATTCTAGGAGTCTATGATTTAAAATCACAGAATAGTTGGAAGTGACCTCTGGAGGTCATTGAGTCCAACCCCCCTGCTAGAGCAATACCTCTTTGAGATTTTTTTCTTCACTGTAGTCAATATGTAACCAAGGTAAGCAACATTCTTTTAAAACAAAGACAAGCAAAGTGGAGATGATTACAAACAGACCATTATATCCACATTACACACATTCAGCTGTTGGATTATGGCCTTTTTTTCATGTCCATAAAAAGAGATCTTGTCATCAAGTCATCCCATCAAGTTACAGCACCTACAAGTTGTTTAATTTATCTGTACAGATCAGTGTGGAAGGTGAATAATTGATTATACCTCTGAGAAAATGTTCTTTCCGTTTCCCCCCCCCTCTCCACACTAATGCATTAGATGGCATTTTAAATGGTTTTCTCAGACTCCAGTTACATTTATGAAGTCTTCCCTTGTTTCCCATCAGCTGGACCATCAGCTAGAGGTAGAATCTCCAAAGGGTGACTTGGGAAGGCTGAAAAATAGTCTGGGTTTTAATTGTGGTGTCCCCTAAAGATGCAGCTACCAAGCTCTTTATAAATGAGCCTGTTTTGAAGATGGCTCAGACTGGGATGGCACCTGCACAACATTTAAATTACCCTGGCACTGAAATGAGTTGGGAAAACCAGCCCTGGAATGAGGCAATTTATCACTTGAAAATGGGGTTTTAATGAACTGGATATCATCATTTCCAGCAATCTTCCTGGATTATACAGTTCTGAAAGAGACAAACAGATGTTGGTATAAATTACTGCACAGTTTAATCATTTTTCCACTGGACCCATAATTTTTTTGCTAGATGTTTTTTCCTTGCAGGAGGAGAGAGGTGTTCATTGTTCAGTGGGGTGGATCAGTTTAATAAAACACAAATGAACAGCTGTATTTTGTTTGAAGATAGGTTGAACCTCTTGGGAGGAAGGTAATACTTGTTGAGTTCCCATAGGCCAGGCCAGGTTTGTGATGAAGACATTCTTAGGCCTGCACTCCATCAGAGAATCCCAGACTGGTTTGGGTTGGAAGGGACCTTAAAGATCAAGTTCCAACCCTCCTGAATGGGCAGGGACACCTCCCATTAGATCAGGTTGATCCAAGCCCCATCCAACCTGGCCATGAGGACCTCCAGGGAGGGGGCATCAGCACAGTGAATTTGTTAGAGGCTGGAGGAAAACATGGACAAACCTGTCAGATATTGATGCTTTACGGCTCAAGCAGGTGCAGAAAAGGCTGCATTGACCTGCCATGTGAAGCATCATGTTGTTCCTCCAGAAGATGTTTCTGCCAATGCTGCTATAGAAAGGTTGGTGAGTTTACAGACAGGTGGCAGAATCCCCCAGGAAGGGTTACCTACCTGAATACCCTGGCTGTTGGGAATAATTCAAACATGAAGCTGCTGTTTGCAACGTGTACATCCCCTCCGTATTGCCTCTTCAGACCACTTGGGAGAACTTAATGTGAGCACAATCTGTGTTCCTAAAGCACTACATTCTTACTTATACTTTTCAAATTATTTGAAAAATTAGTTTCAGGTCTTTCCTTATCTTTTCCCCAAGTAGCCAGCTCTCTGAAGCCAGCCATGGCAACTCTTTGTTTGCAGGCAAATTCACACAGTCCTGCTAGCAAAGTGCAGGTGTGCAGCTTGTGGGCATCATTTTCTATCAAGGCATAAACTTCAGCTCATGATTCATTCAGAGAAAAAATGGCAAATGCAGACACGATAAAGGCACAGTACAAAAAAAAAAAAAAAAAAGGAGAGAGAGAGAGAGAAGGAATCTCTTTACTCCCTTCAATTCTTACCCCAATTGTGATGTTGTTTCTAATGTGTTTCTTTTTACAGAGTATATCCATGCACTTCTCTTGCATGGTGGTCTGTTTGGAATGTAAATATTTGAACTGCAGTAGGTGATAAGGATTTCTTGCCAAATGTTATGTGTCTTCTTCTCACTCCTCCTTGCAGGTAACACAGCCAAGGTATTTATTGAAGTGAAGGATGAAAACGACCATGCTCCTGTCTTCACCAAAAAACTGTACATTGGGGGAGTGTCTGAAGATGCCAGAATGTTTTCTTCTGTGCTTAAAGTTAAGGTAAGGCTGAAACTTATTTTAAATCGCATTCCCTTGCCATGGGAAAACAGTCACTCACTGGCTTGATGTTTCACAGGAGGTTATGAAATGAGTTTCTCCTCAAACTGTTTGAGCTCCTCAGGCACTGGCAGTGATTTCTATTTTATTTCTTTTTATAATCAAGTCTAGTGAACACAGAATTCTTCGTAGGAAATCAGTGTCTGAGTATGAATACAAGTGTGATACTTTCCATTAAGTGTGTGTGATTGACAAGCATTGGCCTGGTATCCCAGCACTTACTGACACAAGGTTGATTCTGAGCTTAGGAGAGTTTTGTAGGTTTGATTTCTGTTGGATTTATGTGCTCGTTTCTCATGGGAAAATTTGTAGCCACCATTTTAGAGGCATTAATATTTAGAGAATCTTTTTATGCTCAGCACTAATAAATGAAATAATTTTTATTACTTCTTTGACAGCAGCTTTAAAAAGGAAAGAACAGTTGCTGTTGAAGTAGCAAAGCAGTTTCCAGTCTGTCTACTGGGATGTAAAATTGACTAGAGGTTGTGTTTTGTTGTGGATTTTTTTTTTTTAAAAAAAGAGAAGTCAGGAAAATATTATATATAGAATGCAGTTAGTGTCAGAGAGAAAAATAGCTTGGAATAAAAGCTGCTTGTTTTCTCCAACATGCTCTGTGATGCAATCTTTTGTGCTAAAGGCAGCCTGAGTTGCCAGGACTCTCCAAGTCAGCTTGTTTCCTCTGCCTTGATTTTGTTACCTCAGCAGGCCTCCTGCATCTTCTTTCCACTTAAGTGTTAGTGGAACTTGGAAGTTGCTGATCCTAGCCTATGCATGAAAGGACACAGAAATATGACCTGCTGAGAGTTTTACTTTGACCTCATGATGTGTTTAGAGCACCAGGAATGAAATCAAGAATATCAGAGCTTATTGAAGTTGTCCAATGCTTTTGAAATTTCATGGCATCCTTCCCAAACTAAGCCCAGAAATGGCAGAAAAGTAGGAAATTGATAAGCATTGACTGTTGGATAGAAACTTCTGCAGATTACATAATTTACTTTTGTGCACTAGTCAAGAGTTGTTTGGGGTTTTTTGCTTATTTTTTAAGCAGTGCCTGTCCCAGGCACACAGCAGTCCAAATAAACAGCTGGGAATTTATTGAAGGCTACGTGAAAAGAGAACATTGCAGTGTATAAATCTGCCCTGTGCCAGTTCATCTGCCTGCAGAGGAACCTGAGAAGGTGTTTGAGGCCATAGCAGGAAGGGCCAGATCTTCTGGATGGGGCTGGTCAGGAATTTCACCTTAACACACAACCATGGGATGGTCCCAGGTCTCCCAGCTGCAAAAATGTGAGAGAGCCTTAATACTGTTTTGCCCCAAGTATGTTCCCAGCAGAGCAAAGGATGCTGTTCAGCAGCAGCACAAAATGCTGCCTGATATGAAAAACCTGTGCCCAGCCCACAGGGTCCTTGGGGAACAGGGTCAGATAGATCAGCTGGCAGATCAAAGTCAGTGAAGCTGCTCTATAGTGCTATTAGAACATTGGGTGGTTAAAAGAAGCAGCAATCCTGAATGCAAGGGAAGGTGTAGAGAGGAATTATGGTGAGAAGAGGATAGAACCAGAGAATCCCAGACTGGGTTGGAAGGGACCTTCAAGACCATCCAGTCCCACCCCCTGCATGGGCAGGGACACCTTCCACCAGCCCAGGCTGCTCCAAGCCCCATCCAACCTGCCCTTCAACACTGCTAGGGATGGGGCAGTCCCTCCCCAGCTTTCCTGGAGCCCCTTCAGGCCCTGGAAGGTGCTCTGAGGCCTCCCCAGAGACCTTGGTTTAGTGATACACATTAGCCCAGAATGCTTATTGAAACAATATGTCTGTTTACTACTATTTCATCAGCTCTAAAGACCCAGTTCAGACTTTGCAAGTGAAGCCAAAGAAGGTCACCCAGCACATGCAGTGTCTGCCTTTACTGTAAAGCTTCCCATGGGTGTGAATCAAGGAGCTACAAAGGCAGTAATAAAGCAACTTCATGGGTCAGAAATAACAAGGTCAGAAAATGAATTGTAAAATTTCCTTTTAGGAATTTCTTTTCCTTTACCCTCTAAATTGAAGTTTGAAGGTATACTGGATTTCTCATCTGTGTGACATAATGACACATAACCAGATGTGTTTGCTTTAGACAGCTTTAGCTTGAGTACCTGAAAGCAAATGAGTGCAATTAGTAGTGGATGATGTGGATGGACAAGTCAGTTTTTTGCAGATTCCCAGTCCACCCCTTCTTTGCCAGTCACTGTGTGTGTGTGTAATACCAGCTCCTGCTCCTTGCTGTCAAAACCCATAGAACTATGTCCCTCCATGTACCTTCCAGGTTCCCAGTGACCTGTCTCAGTTCCTGCACCAGTGGCTTGGGCCAGAAGACAGAAGTCTTAGGGTTGTTTTGTACCAGGCCTTTGTTGTGCTGTCAGGGGTTGGTTATCAGAATTCCTGCACCAGTGGCTTGGGCCAGGAGAAGTCTTAGGGTTGTTTTGTACCAGGTCTTTGTTGTGCTGTCAGGGGTTGGTTATCAGAGGTGAGATGCTCAAGAAATGGCACAGGGAGGATAAACTGAAGTCTGTGAAAGAGCAGGGCCTGATAGAAGAGAAATGAGGACAATTCAGTTCAGTGAAGGGAGAAGAAGGAAAAAAGTAGCTCTTTATCAGAGGTGAGATAGGATCCCTCTTCTGCTTTTATATCATAGAAATGCAACTCCAGTTGATATCTTTCTCATTGCTTTAGTCAACTGTGTGGCTATTCTGAACCATAAAGATGATTTAGATCATGGAAAGGGGGTTTTAAGGAATGAAAACATCTACTTCACATTGTGAGCTCTGACATTGACTTTCTTATGTGAAAGTGATAAAATTGGGGCAGGTCCTGATCTCATCACTCCTGTGACCAGTGACAGGACTGGGGGAAATGGCAGGAACCTGAATCAGGGAAGGTTTAGGTTGGATATCAGGAAAAGGTTTTTCCCCCAGAGGGTGGTTGAGCCCTGGAACCAGCTCCTCAGGGCAGTGGGCCCAGCACCAAGCCTGCCTGAGCTCAAGAAGTGTTTGGGTGATGCTCTCAGGCCCATGGGGTGATTCTTGGGGTGCTCTACACAGGGACAGGAATTGGACTCGATGATCCTGATGGGTCCCTTCCAACTCAGCACATTCTAGCATTCTATGGTACAGCAAAGTTCTCCTTTTTTGAGGTGACCTATGTGCCCAAATTCTTGGAAGCACTGAGGGGTGTCAAGTCACGTGGCCCTCCCTGGATTGCCTTGGTATCCATGGGTGGGTGGGTTAACCACAGTAATCCCAGTGGTGCTGATTAGATATTGGTAATGGCTCCTGCAGTTAGATGTGATTTACAGGGTATGCCTGCTTCTCTTTGCCATTGCTGTAATTAAATTAGTTAAGCCTACTAATCACAGTGGCAGGCACTTGCCAGCAGTTACTGGTTAGTGGCAGTTTAAGCTAATATAGTTTTCCTTTTTTATCAAAGAGGAAAGATGAGCTGGAAGACATTATCTAGGAAGTACTAAATTATGGGTTTACCAGTGCAGATACCAAGG